GGAAAATCTGGTGGACATTTTGGAGTTAACAAGACATTGAGTAAAATTCGAGAAAGATTTTACTGGGTTCAATGTCGTGACGACGTGGAAAGTTGGTGTAGAAGATGTCCTGTATGCGAAGCCAGTAAAGGTCCCAGAACGAGATCAAGAGCTGGAATGAAGCAATACAATGTGGGTGCACCGTTTGAAAGGATCGCCATCGATGTAGCCGGACCATTCCCTTTGACTGATGATGGAAATAAATACATCTTGGTTGCTATGGACTACTTCAGTAAGTGGGTAGAAGCATACGGCATGCCAAACCAAGAAGCCTCCACAGTTGCCAGGATATTGGTCGACAACATGTTTTCACGGTTCGGAGTACCAATGGAATTACATTCTGATCAAGGGAGAAATTTTGAGTCGAACTTATTCAAAAAGGTCTGTGATCTAATGGGAATCAGTAAGACGAGAACAACTCCACTACATCCACAATCCGATGGCATGGTCGAAAGATTCAACCGAACTATGGAAGAACATCTTTCCAAAGTAGTCGAAGAGCATCAGAGGGACTGGGACAGGCATCTTCCTTTATTCCTGATGGCGTATAGAGCAGCTGTCCATGATTCAACGAAGCTAACTCCAGCTAGTATAGTCTTTGGCAGAGAACTCCGCTTACCTTGTGACTTGGTGTTCGGTTCACCAAGTGTTGAAGAAAAGGAAGTACAAGACTACGCAGATGAGCTCCGGAATGGCTTGATGAAAATTCATGAGACTGCTCGGAAGAGATTGAAATTAGCAAGTGACAAGATGAAGGCACGGTACGATCTCAAAGCCAATACAGAGGGATTCTTCGAAGGAGATCGAGTTTGGCTGTATAATCCTCGACGGAAGAAAGGCGTATCACCCAAATTAACACCATCTTGGGAAGGACCGTATACGGTGTTGAAAAGGATCAATGATGTGGTCTACAGAATCCAACGCAGCCCTAGGACAAAGATGAAAGTCGTTCATCTTGAAAGACTGAAGCGCTACCATGGTGAGGAGAGTTCTGTTTTTGATCGGGACGATCAAATTTGAAGAAGGGGGTAAATGTTACGACCCTGGCAATCGATCCCAGCTACCTGCGGGAACGGGAAGTAAACAAGGCCATATTTCTTGGAATAGTAATTAGGTGATTCGACGGCTATTGAGATGACTCGAGAAGATTATCGACCTGTTCACGATATTTCGAGTGGAATCTAGACGTTTTATTAGGTAATATAAATAGATGTTGTTAGGGACAGGAAGGGAAGTCTTTATTTGGAAGCGTTATAATAACGATCGAAGAAGTGTTGTGAATCGGAAGTGTTTAGTACGAGTATTGTAATTATTGTATAGTAGTGTTCAGAATAAATCGTTTTAAGTGTTATACCGAGTGTTAAGTTATTACGGACCCAGAGTAAAATCGTAACAATATCTTTGTTTGGTAACCAATAAATTGTTATGAAATGGTTTGGTAGTCAGCTGTTTAATTCATTCAAGTATAGTATATTGTTTAACGAGCACAGAACGATATAGTCATTTCCCACGAGAATGAAGTTTTATATTCAACTGTTCAACTTATTGTATAGAATTTTCTATGAATTCTATGTTCAAACCATTCTAATTCAACAACTGATATAGCTAGTTCAGTTTTTTAATCCAGGAGGAGGATTTTTCTTCTTTTCTTTTTTTGACAATATTATAGTTTTTTTTTTTAATTGACTCGGCCGTTACTTGATGGAAATCCATAGTGAATACAAAAACAAACGGCGAGATTTCGACAAAGTTCTTAAATTACAGTATGGCGAGTCAATGTTTGTTCAGTTTATGGTACCAACATTACACCTGAAGAAGCTACTGTGTTAGCGGATCATGTCGTGTAATTAAGAATTCTTTGAAAATCTTATCGTTGCATAATTTAATTTACTGAAATGTATTCAAACATGTGGAGAGTAATTCTTTAGTTAATTTTAACGGAAGATGTGACATTATTCATGAATCATCTTGAATGAATATTGCATAATATAACAATATAGCACTTAAAGTTGACAAGCCAAGATTTTTAAAATAGTTAGGATCCTTGCCAATAAACAAATATGTGATTATCATAGAAATTGCTCAATTAAAATTTATCTTCGAGTGCTCACAAACTATTGAGACTTATTATATTTGTATAATATAAATTCTGAAAGCACATATACATTAGGATTTTTATGTGTTTGGGAGATACCAAAGTTATGCAGATAATTTACGTTTTTTATATATTTTCAAAAATCAATGTTCATATACATGAATAGTGGTTCTAGCAGTAAGATTTATTGACAGCGTTGGCCTGCCTTAGTCGTAAGTTCTTATTTTCCTGAGAAGAAATGGAAATTCTGGAAAAGAACGCAGAATGGATATATATATCATCTGCGAAGCTGTGGATAGGGCAAGTGGTGTTACTTTTGTATCATGCTTAGTTTTTAAGGAAATAATAAAAATTCGATTCGACTATGTACAGGTGTCATGTCGGTACTATAGATACACCTATAAACATCAATATTTGTATCATTTGGAGATTTGGAAACTGTCAGTCATCAACCAAACTGAATGTTGTCACCATGGAAACTTATACCGGGTGTCCCAAGTTATCGTATACAGGCAATATCTCGCTTGTTTGACACGATAATTGAAAAATTCAAAAACTGCATTGAATTGCATTGAAGTAGAGTCGTATTAAAAAAAAAAAGCGTACAAGTATTAGAAAGAGAAATTAACGTCATCCCATTTGCGTAAAACGGGCTATCGGGAATGATTGTTTACCGAATGTTGACAGTTATCATAGATTGTCAAAAATACAAAGCGTAGACGTCGGCGTTATTTTTGAAATTGCTTAGTCTGTGAAATAAAAATGCCTCGCCATTTAACAGAAATAGAAAAGGCTCAGATAGTGACTAAGACTGAGGAAGGATGGTCTATTCGCGCGGTAGCACGGGAGTATAATCGGAATAAGAAAACTATTCTAAAAATCAAACAACGATGGGAGCAAGAGAGTCATTGAGAAGAAAAGTTGGATCAGGTCGTCCCAAAATTTCCAACCCTCAACAAGATGCTGCTTTTGTGGCATACTTAAGAGATAACCCATTTGCAACGGCGAGAGATTCTGTGATAGTGACAGGATTTCCTGGCTCTCAACCTACTGCGAGCAGAAGGGTCAAGAAATCTGAGCTGAATAATCATCCAGCAGCGAAAAAAAATTTACTCAACGCTGAACGGCGTCAGACAAGGGTAATTTTCCCACTAAATCATATATACCGCAACCCACAATAATGGCATAGGGTAATTTTTACAGACGAAAAAACTTTCAAGTCGACTTATGACGGACCAATTCGTGTTTATCGTCCACACTATACGAGATTTGAAGAACGATACACTAGCTCTCTTGCTTCTAGGTCTGGACGTTTTTCCTGCATAGATTGTTAATGTATGGGGCTGGATAAGTGTCCATGGACCTGGTGTTTGCTGGCGAATAGAGGGGAAGTTCAATGCCGCAAATTATTTGAACATTTAGAAAATATGATGCTCCCATCTATTGAGCAATTGCAGTATCCAAATAATAATTTTTTATATCAACATGATAATTGTCCAGTCCACACCGCCAATGATGTTATTACGAATTGGTTCCGTACGCATAACGTAGAAGTGCTGCCATGGGCCGCTTACAGTCCCGATATCAATCCAATAGAAAACGTTTGGGGTATAATTGTAAAAAAAATCTACAAGAGAAATTTCAGGCCCCAAAATTCGAATGAATTATGGGAAGTAATCCACGAGTGCTGGGAAGAGCTTGATCCGAATATACTATCGAATTTGATCAACTTAATGCCAAATAGACTCATTAAAGTTATAGAATCTGATGGTTATATGACCAAGTACTGAATTTTATTTCCATTGTTCTCGTTATTCGTTTTTATTTGAATTGTTATAAAATTGTTGAATATAAATAATTCAATAAATTATCAACAATTTTTTTCTCATTATTTATTTCATTGATGCTCGACGCCACTGACTTCCATTTTGACACCTTATTGTGATGAGCCAGTTTTACACAACTAGATCTAGGATGACGTTAACCTCCCTTTTTAATACTTGTACGCTTTTTTATTGAATACGACTGTACCTTCCTAATGATAAATGAAAAAAACCATTACATTTGACAGTTCTCTGGCAACTACTCCCCACTTTTTATTTGCAAATGGCACCCCCTGTATATTGTCATTGGAAATTACGTGTCATTCAATTTGGAACACAAGGATTGCATATACTTGGTATTTTTATTGATAACAGCAAAAATATCAACATTTTGTGACTTGCTTCATGTTACTTAATTATCTTTATGAAAATGAAAATATGCCTCCGCTTATGTTTTTTGTTTCAAAAAGTCGATGCTCCTCATATCCAAATGATTTTTAGTTCAGTTTTTGATTTGCATCAAAGATATTTCAGTTGAAATTCATACATAAATGTTGCTATTCTTGTTGTTATAATAATAAAAAAATTCCAAGTGAATGCTATCCCGAGTGCTATCCTTGTATTCCTTATAGGATGACACTTATTTTCGATGACAATATGCCATTTGAAAAAAAAAGGTGGAGAATAGCTGCCAGAGAACTGTCAAATTTAAACGATTTTTCACATGTCATTGGGAAGGTACTTCAATGCCATTCAATGCATTTTTTGAATTTTTCAATTACCATGTCAAATAAGCGAGAATATGCCTGTATACGATAACTTGGGACACCTTGTATAGGTGGATCAAAAAAAAACTAATACATTCAACTTCAACATCCTGTATCTTATAACAAAACGAAGCAAGTTAGGACACATGCTTGAAAGATTTGATTCCCAAAATATTACAAGAAATCACGTCCTAAATTTTTCGCACTTCATTAACACCTTGTATAAATTATTTTCCATCTCATTTTTAAAATGAACCAATCAGTTCGAGTCCTTACTTTGTAGTCCTTTCGTTGTCCTCTTTGCCCACTCAAGCTAGTGATGATTTGAAAGTTCCAAATGCCCACTTGAACATGAGGTGGAATACGTATGTTCAAAACTACGGAAGATCTATTGTTTTGGGAGAGCATTACTCCCCATATCTGGGCGCTTTTGGGGAAGTGCTTGAGTTTTGGTAACACTGGTCGAACTGCTTTGGTGCCCAAAACGACACTCGGCTTCTCCCCTGAAGAAATTGTCACTTCATTAATTATATCGATTGATTGTGATTATGATTATGTATCGGGTGGTCACAAAAAAAACGGAAGTTTTTATTTTCCTCGTGGTTTCATCATTTCTCAACCGAATTCGAATTTCTTGGCGTCGTTTCATAGCTGAAGGGCTATAGTATTCAGTGGAATATTTGAAAATGCCATGATGAACAAAAAGTAAATGGCGGATTCTATCAGAATATTGTCATTTACAAAAACCGCTGGAGAAAAAAAAAATCAGATTTTTTCCACCCTGTACCGATGTCATCTTAGGCTATTCCTTTCTAAATAGAATGAGTACTCGAACATCGAAATCGAACAAATAGTCCAGTAGATACACTCATTTCTTTGCAATTTGTTATGGAGTGAATGTGCTTATCTCGTATAAACGATTATTATTATTTTGCTTCACGCTTCATGAAAATTCAATCGAATTTGGATTTCTTGAAGTTATTCCAGAGATAAAGAACTGTAGTACATAATGGAACATTTGAAAATCCAATAATTGAAACAAACAAAATGGTGGAGAATTCAGAATTTTTGTGATTTTCAAAAATCTCTGGCGAATAATGAAATGTTTATTCTTCCAATCAGGACCGGGACAATTTTAGATCATCGATTTCTGAAAAGAATGAGCACTCGAACATCTGAATCGAACAATTAGTCCAGGAGAAACACGTTGTTTTTGGCAAAGTGTTATGGGGTGAAATCCAAATTCGATCGAATTCTGATAAAGCCAGAAGCAAACTGAAAGTAATTATTATTACGGGATTGGCACATTCACTCCATAACACTTTGCCAAAAAGAACGTGTTTCTCCTGGACTAATTGTTCGATTCAGATGTTCGAGTGCTCATTCTTTTAGAAATCAATGATCTAAAATTGTATCTGTCCTGATTGGAAGAATAAACATTTTTTTATTCGCCAGAGATTTTTGAAAATCACAAAAATTCTGGATTCTCCATCATTTTGTTTCTTTCAATTATTAGAACTTCAAATGTTCCATTGTGTACTACAGTTCTTTATCTTTGAAATAACTCTAAGAAATCCAAATTCGATTGAATTCTCATGAAGCCTGAAGCAAAATAATAATAATCGTTTATACGAGATTCGCACATTCACTCCATAACAAATTGCAAAGAAATGAGTGTATCTACTGGACTATTTGTTCGGTTTCAATGTTCGAGTACTCATTCTCTTCAGAAATGTATAGCCTGAGATGACATCGGTACAGGTTGGTAAAAATCTGATTTTCTTTTTCTCCAGCGGTTTTTGTAAATGACAATACTTTGGTAGAATCCGCCATTTTGTTCTTGATCATTATAAAATTTTCGAATATTCCACTGTATACTATTGCCCTTCGGCTATGAGAGGACGCCAAGAAATTCAAATTCGGTTGAGAAATGATGAAACCACGAAGAAAAAGAAACTTCCGGTTTTTTTGTGACCACCCGATATATTTGGTGATGATGACTAGAGATTTTCCATTGTCGAGTTCAATTCTCAATATCATCATTTAGAGTAGAGGATTAGACGACTGTATGCAGTCAAAAAGACAGATTCACTCTTATTTCTGTGCAAGCTTTCGAATTTTTATTGGCTCTTCATCAGGAGCTCAATAAAACATTAAAATTGATATGGAAATTCAATCGTTATTATCGATTATTGAAACACTTACGGAAAATGAGATTTCGTTGAAGATGGCTTCCATTAAGTGGGGAATAATACATGTGCAAAAGAACATTCACAGCAGAATTTTGGCACCATGGAAGCTCATACAGGGTTATGAATAAAAACAATTGATACTTTCAACGTCAACATCCTGTATCTCAAAAACGGAGCAAGTTAGGACACATATTTATGTGAACTTTATTTGCTAGAAGTCACAAGGAAACACCCCTTGAATACTTTCGGTATTATTCAGATACACCCTGTAAGTACAAACTGTTTCTAATGGCGGAAAGTTTTCTCCTCTTTTTTGCCTCCACAGTTTTTTTTTTCTTATGTTCTAGTTTCCACGAAAGGGGGTATCCAGTAATGTTCAGAGAACATCGTGAGAACCAAGAGAAATAAGGTATAGGAATTGGTGTTTTTCTTAAATTTCTCGAGGTTATATGCCTCATGAAACACCTCCCTTGGTGGCAATGTGTTCCAGAGCCTCGCTGTTCGTTGAATGAACGAGTCTTTGGAAAGAGATGTTCTGCAGTTCTCCAAAGTGACCACGAAGGGGGTGCGAATCCTCAACTCGACGGGTTAATCTCGCGGGGACTGCCAAGGGAGGAACAATTGTTGATATTTCAGAGGAGCATCGTCCATGAAAATATCTCTAAAATAGAGCCAGATCGCCAACTTTTCTACGGTGTTCCAGAGAAGTGAGTGAGTTTGTGAGCGAGGCATCACCCACGAGACGGAATTGCCCTTTTTTGTTATAGCTATCTCCACATACACTTGTACCAATTTGACTGAAGATGGCCATTCGAATGGCCGAAACATGTCTCAAACCTTTCAAACCTCATTGAAGCAGGATTGACTGCATCTATTCAACATTAAACTTGTGAAGACGACATCGAGTTTTCTTTCTTGATTAGGGATTATCATAACGAACTCAACGAAACTGAGTTTGATAAGGTTATTTCGAACGATTACGAAGATTTTCGCGTTCGAAATTTCCATATGCCCAATGATTGAAATGGAATCACTTGCTTAGAATCCTATTTTCACGCGCACTTTTCCCAAGTGATAAAGGAAACGTGCACTATATTGAAGTTTCTACATTCCTTTCCAAGTCAGGAATTTCTGGAAATCCCCGTTTCTTCAATGTTTCATGAAATGTACTGAATAATACAAAAGTGCCCCCTACGGCCCTAGGAATTCGGGTGTCTAGTAGTCTAGAGAATCACGAAATTGTTCCGATATGTTGACTGGAGCAATCCATCTTCATGAAGGATTTATAATTTCACAAGCACATATTATTGTAGCAGCATCAATATGAACAGACGATTTCACACATTATTCGAATTTTGTTGTTGTAGAAAGTTCTGCTGCTCTTGAAGCCAGGTGGATAACTTCACCAGGGCCGAATTCGATCACGGTTTAAATATCTCCTTAACTTTTTAAATCCACAGAAATGCGTCAAAATACAGAATATCGAAAAATATCGATTTTTCACATCCTGTATAAGGAAGCGGTCAGAAATTCCAAAACCATTTCGGGATATTGACTTGAAGATTTGAGGAAGTTGATTTGCAGAAGGAAGAAAAAATTTCTGGGAATACGGGAGCTATCCTAAACTTCTTCGATTATGTCACACTCTTTTTGACCATTTGGTATGTCAACTGTGAAACTTCAGAATGCTTTGAACGATGAATCTTAAACAGAAAGGACGCATCTTTTGAACACTGCATTCCGATTGAAAATTGGTTCATTTGCAGAAAAGTTATAGCATTTTAAAAAACCTCGATAATTCGAGTGGTCTCCTCAATTCTTTGAGCACTTTAGTTGAACTATAATACCAAATGTCGCTAATGCCCTTTTGTCATGACGACGTCGATACCATTCACTTCATTTTTATTGTGAAGAAATATTTATCTTCGGAGCAAGACAGGCAAGTTAAAATACTCAGGAACGGTCCAAGGACGCCATATGGTGAATATAGCAGTTTCAGTATTTCCAAATTAGATAGGGACCTAGTCGATGAATCAAATAAAAAATATTTTTCCCAACAAAAGCTGTTCAGGAGAAGTACTCCTATACCTACATTGAAAGTGGGTAGATAAGTCATCATCAAATTCCATTCCATAATTTTTCTGGATGCATAATTAATCATCAGTTATTTTTTACTCTTGAAAGCCTTGAAGAAACTAGTTTCTCAGAATAAAATATGAATACTATGTCACCAGTGTTAAATTGTTTTTGTGATTATTTTTCATGTTTAGAATACCTGCATTCCAATCAATGAATACTTATCTTCAAATTCAAATGCATCTGACTCATGAATAGGTACTTCTGCAGATGAAAGGAGTTGATAATAATAATAATAATAAACGGCTTCATCATTTTCAGTACCTCCTGTACAATATTGGCATATATTTAATTCTTATTGAAATTTTTACTTAGGAGGGTATTCGAAATTATTCAGGTCTGATTTTCACTTATCTTTAGCTTAAGACTGGTTTTGAATTTTGACAATTTTAAGGATTTTATAGGGGTTGGAAAATTATGACCTATACCTTAACTTATCTGGAAAATCTATACAATCTAAGCTAACATGGGAAAACACACATCAACACTGTATGTTCGAAACACTACATGATATGTAATAAAAAATCTGCGAGATACTGTATTTGCCAACATCCTGAAGTTATTCTATTTTGTGCTGGTTCAGTCAACTCTGCGGTATGGCCTGATATTTTGGAGATCCTCTTGTCACTTTGAAGGGGTATTTGTAACACAAAAAAGGATGATGAGAACAATGTGTCATGCTCATCTAATGAAAACATGTAAACCACTCTTCAAGAAATTTCAAATGTATATTCTTGAACTAACTATGTACATCAAAATGAACCAAAATGAATCTATGAAAAATGATGCATATTATTATGTAAAATTTCAACAGCCCTATTCAAGATTGACAGTATGTGAAAATTCACCAAAGCATATTTGTATCGAGACATAAATTGAAGAACTTTCTTCTTGAAAATGTATTTAATATAGTGTTGAGGAGTTTCATAATTGTTGATATCTAACTATTGTCGAAGTTGTCAATGGGTATGAATGAATGTTTAATTTTTTGTCTTTGTGACTTTACCTAGGTACACTATTTGAGCATTGTATTTGTTAACATTTCTTCTCCTGCCTAGTCTGATAAGTTTTGTACATTGTGTTGACCCATACCTTGTATAATCTTTGATTGACGAATAAATTCATCTTATCTAATATGATAATTGTATACATTACTTTGGTAACTGTACGAGCGTTTGAAAAATTCAGTTAGGAGTCCTTTGAACCATACATTGATTGTATATTGTATGTACATCAGTTCGGAATTTTAGATTATTATATAAGTAGGGAGGACATTTGGTGATGATAATTTAATGATACAGACATGACGAGTGCAGTTGCCTTCTATTTTCCATGTTCAACCAGCCAAGATATTCTTTCTCGTCTTCTTATACCATTTATCAGACGCAGACAAGAGTTCTGTTCTTTATCTATTTTTTGTTCGAATGGAAATGTTAAATTTGGTCCATAAAGGCAATCCGCATAGTTGAATAGGGACAAAACCAAGCTATTACATATTTTCATTTTGAGTTTCACAGATAGCAAATGGCTGTAACTATAAATGAGCTTAATTGTGGGGTATGCTCTTTGGACAAGTTTGTTAATGTATCACTCAAATCTAAGTTTTCTGTCGATAATAACATCCAGACTCTTTGCCTCATCTGAAATAATGATAGACCTGTCTACTATGATGATATTAACAGAATTTTTCATGATAGGTTGGATTTTTTTGGCACCAAATGCAATTATGTTATATTTGCTTGCATTCATAATGATTCAGTGGTCCTTCGCCATATCAATAAAATACCCTAGATCTTTATTAATCATGGCACAAGAATCACTTATCGCAGAGTATGTAAAGGAGTTATGCAGCTGGTATCATCAGCATATAAATGAGATTCGCAATATTTTACACTCCTCAATATGTGTGTGATGTGAATATTAAAAAGCAGTGGACCCAAAATAGAACCTTGAGGGACTCCAGACTTGGGGTCAACATAGTTTGACTATTCTTGAAGTTGTACTTTCTGTCGTCTGTTCCTGATGTAGCTCTCTAGTAATGAAACTGTATTTTCAGATAGACCAATATAGTCTAATATAGCAAGTAATATGTGGTAATTTGATGTGTCAAACGCCAATTTGGAGTATAAAATTATAGAAATTGTACATAACAATTGATTAGAACTCAATCTTGTTTACGTTTCAGAGTTCGCCAATATGAGGGTAGTACTATATTGGGGATTGAAATAACAGAATATAAAAAGGGGAACTCCTCATTTTGAAGGTACTTTTGACCTAATGAGATTGGGTAGTTTGTGAAGTAGCACTTCAATATGTGTTTATTTTTTGTGCGTATAGCTGCTCAGAAAGATCTTTCACCTCGACATCAGTTGACTTTTTTGAATATGTACGTTTAGGAGTTTCAAAATGAAAAACATGATATACAGGGTGGTCTGGTTTGAAATACGAAAAATTCAACAATGTGTTGTACTTGTTGAAATGATAAAAACAGTTCAAGTAAACATATACTTCTGAATACGTCGTTTTCGAGAAATAGGGTGTTGAAAATACAAGTCTGAATATTGTTTTTTGATGAAAAGTTCGAAACGGTTTGAGATAAATCAACAAAATTTCTCACAGATCCTAAACTTTTTACCCTCTATATAAGTTGAAACGAAAATGATTTCATAAAGTAATTCAGTGGCAGCAGGTGGTGAAGGTACATTGAAGTTTCATTGTGTTTGTCCAGTTATTATTTTTTATTAGCTTATTAGATTCCTCATATCGTTAATCTGATTCCATTATTCGAAAACGTTGTGACTGTTTGAGAAATACAACAGAACTATTAAACACAGAAATCTATATTTTTTCACATTTTGTACTCGAAAATGAAGAATGGGCTTATATCACAAAAAAAATTTATTCCATAATTCGATAGAACTCACCCAAACTAGCTCACCACCGCAAACCGTTTATCGCTGTGAGCTCCCTAGGTTTTATAAAAAATTATTGAAATCCCCGATTTTTCGGACCTCTGAAAACGAGGCGATGATGTGACGTCAAAACCCTAATACTGAAACAGGACTATTCCAGATAGAGATGAATGATACATGATTTCTGGCAGAGTGAATTAGCGCGAGATCACAGTTGAAAGAATTAATATTTCAGTTGCCTCAGTCTCCGTCGGGCGTTTGGTATTTTCTTTTAACTATGGCGAGATGAGGTTTCTACGTCATATAAGAGGGTCCGTTTTCAGATGGTACTATTATTTATGTCCAAAAATTGAACATTCCAGTAAATTTTTCGATCGAATTATGTCGTCAATCATTATTTATGTATGAAAGGATCATTATAAACATGGTTTGAGTTAAAAGTTCTACCTTCTTCTTCTAAGGTGTACACGCCCATTGAATGCACCTATACAAATTGGGGTGAGTGATGCGAAGTGGTATGAGAAAAGATATGTTTTCCTGTTTTGCGTCTTCAATAAGTCATTGTGACACCCAAATTAGGACACGCTAAATTTCTTTTCAGAACAAAAATTTCTAATATTCGATGTTTTATTGAGGATTTTTTTTTTCAAAAAATATTACAGACGTTTCATGAGACATATTGTCGTGCGTCAAAACAGTGTCTTATAAAACTCGTATAATAATATACTATTTATGTTCGTTACAGAAACGTTTCGATGAACTCATATTATCCCTATTTAGAATCCACAGGATGATTACATCGGAAGGGAAATTCCAGGGACCGACTTGGGAAATTAATTGTCTTGTGAAAAGTAAAAAATTCTGGATCGTATTTTTCAAAACCTTTAATAGGCTTCAGAACGACCAGATAATAAAATTCAATCGGCATGGTTCACTGTATGTCTGCTATTTTCTTGAAAAGCAATTCCTAAATTTAGCAATTTCTTGTGATCTTCCTTGATTTGATAAAAGTTTTTGAAAAATATACAATCGAGGAGGGTAACATTCTCACTCGAAAAGTCATATCAATAGAGGAGAGAGGAATTAGGTACTATAGTGAATTCCAGCAGATTACATCGGATGAAATTCCCGAAATACCGTTCATTGCAGTTTTTCCCCGTATTCAAAAAATACCCTGATCAAAAAATTAGCAAATCATAATATTTTCTCACTCATTTCGACTTTCCCTATTTTTTAGCTAGTCTGGGTCAGTCATGATATATTGAAGCAATAACAACCATATTTCTCAACACAAGTTTTGATTATTCCAGAATATGTTCAACATGAAGTATATACGATTATTTTACTTACCAAATCCAAAACTAACTCGAATCACATCTTTTTCAACATCGAAATTCCTATCGAACTTAAGGGCCAAAAAGAAGGAATCTCCTCTTCTCAGAATACAAGTGGGTGTTTCGGCTTTGACGAGATCGTATTCCTCAGTATGATGACGTTTTGCATTATCTTTGCAATATAGTTCAGTGCTGGTTACTGAGATTGGTTCCATTTCAAATTTCTGTGATCAAAGATATAACGGAGATTAAACTATATAAAACGATCAGTTACATGTTCTTATATCATTATATGTATTTTAATAGAAACCATGAACCTCTTTCATTTTAAAATATGCATCAGTGTTCCAAAAATATTTGCCTACAATGATATCGAACATTTCTAATAATGAAGGAGCAGTAAACTTATCTTTCATTAGTTTTATGACATATTCAGTAGTTGCCTATACAGGGTCGAGCTATACTTATTCAAGAATGCGTAAAATTAGTCAGTGTTTGTGCTGAACCTACCCATCAAGTGAAGTTAAAATTCAAACAATATTAATTTGAAGCGGAATTCAAAAAAAATTCGAATTTCAATACTGTATGTATCTATGAAGGTCCTTATTGAATATTGTTCTAGTTTATCAGTATTGGCCCAATAATACTGTCTCGTTAATTTTTGAATTGCCAATCCCTGGATGGGTATAGGATGGTTCCCAAATTTTGCTTCATTTTTATGACAATGGTTTCGAGCCTTTTTATGTCCTTTTTCAATCTGAATTGATGATGAACTTCTGAACATATAAAAATCATAATGAAATGATTTTAAAAAGTCTATTAAAATAGAAATAGGTATCAGTGAAATGTAGTCTGAATTCGTATAAAAATATCGGTATCGATAAAGTTGACTAAATATACCTACTCAACTTCTTCAGATTCCAAAAAACCTGTTGCTTCACAATGAAACAGCATCATTAATTGATCAATGGAATTCCATTTCTTGAATAGCTGTTGTTTTTGGATCATTGATCTTCGACATATTATATACACAATCGTAAACTCTATACTGAAAAACTACCAGTGAATTAATTTTGAATTTTTTCATTCATGCTAAGACGATGAAAAAAATGAATTAGTATATGTCCATTTCAAAACACACATTTTCTGCGCCATTTGGAATTTCATCAATTCATTGGTGTGACTGGTGCGACGTCTTAGTCCCAACACGCCTATTGTCCTTGAACTGACCAATTACACTGCAACACTGCAGAATGACGAGGTATCAGAGAGAGATATAGCTACAGTTCGGGACTAATACGTCACGACTCCACCATCATATTTGGCTGTTTGAAATATCGAATGAAATATGCTGATTTCAAAACGATATAGATTCGATTCCCTTCAACTTCAACTCATAATATTGATTGTACATAAAATGTAAATCATGATTCGTCGATTGAAAGAGGTTTGCACGGATTTCTTTCCTCAGTGGTCTTCCCCATTCCCTCGTGAATATACCCTAACCGTAAGGAGAAATATTGTTCTTTCCAAAGTTACCGAAAAACAAAATAATTTTTGAAGCCCATCGTGCAATTGCATGAAAATCATGAAAATAATATATATAAAACCAGGCACTATACAGTGTGTTCACGAAATTTGGGCGATTGATGATAAGTGAATGGAAGAATACATTTCTGTGGAAAAAAACATTTTGGAGGATATTGAAGGCCGTCCATATTATGCGCTTATTGCTTCCGGCGAGCACAGAAGCATCGGAAATATCGATGACTTCTACCATAAGTTCAAATTTATTAATAATAGTTATTTATTATGCAAGGGAAAAAAGTAGTTGATTTTAGCTCCAGGTTGTGTTGTCTCCCGACGCTTAGCGGAGGGAGACAACAAACCGTGAGCTAAAATCTAATATATTATTCCCGTGTATAAGTATAATACACTATTTTTTTCTGTGACAAAAGGAAGGACGAATCAATATTGAGAAGATATTATATTATTTTGAAATCTGAAAACTATCGACGTGAAATTTTGAGTTTTTAACAGTAGGGACACCTGCGTTGTAGGCATATATATCATTCTTTTGAAGTGATCAAATATCTGATGTCACTTCTGTCAGTCTCATTCTGTGATTTGATCTCAAGAAATTGCGGATTTAGTGGTTGTTTACGTAACCGCGAAGTTCAAAGGACTTGCAGTTCTTTCTCGGAGACGGTATTATTGACACATATATAGCACAACAAAAGCAATCAATAGTGTATATATATGTGATATATATCAGGGAAAAAAGTACTCACTTTTTTCCCACGGGAAAAAAGTAATTTATGAAAAGTGACATTTTATAACCTGCCAGCAGAGATGAAATGCCATGCAAACTATTTTCCCCTCACAGAAAAAACTTTTTTTTCGTGATTGTTAATATATCATATATCTCATTCCCATTTTATTATTCTCTCAAATTTCGAAAACACCTGCTGACATACCAACATCTACCTACTCCTCGAATTTATGGATAGTTTTCAAAAACTCCATTCACATACTTGCGAGGTGTTTCAAGTTCAAAATGATATATCTTTCTCAAATTGTTGAGATATATTATTGATATTTCATACGAATCTCTGCAGTTTTTCCTGTAGGACCTGATTGTCCAGATTTTTAATACCTAATACGCAATATGAATTGGAACGGGATTATAAAATATCACCAATAGTTAATAGTCATGGGTGTGTCAAATAGTATTATAAAATTGTAATACTGGGTGTTACTGTTTCGAACAACCCAGATAGATATTCAGTTGTTATCTTTGAATGCCACCAATAATGGGCCAGTTTGAGTGAATAATTTCAGGTAATTATTTACTGGCGCTCTCCATACATTTTTTTGATATAATTATTGGGAAACGATATATCATAAACGCATGACGCTGACGACATATACCGCGATCAATCCAATGCAATGCGACTTATGAATCTCATGAACACTAGTCGAAATTACATCTATTTCATTTTGATCATTCCATGTGATTATTCGATATATACAGTCATTCATTTTTTAAATTCATCACAAATTTTTTTCAATATTCAAAATAATCAGCTCTCAAATACGTTACCTCTCCATGACGTGACATACCGATAAGCATACTATTGCTCAAAAACCCATGAAAATATTGCCATATTCTACATAGAAATAAAAATTTACGTCCACAGTCCGATTGTTCCGTACGAAAACGCTGAAGGGACATGGTAAAAAAATTATATTTTTCACATTTTATTGCATCTCTGAAGGGACATTATGAAAAATATGATTTTTTTCTGTGACGGGAAAAAAGTTTGGCATTTCATCCCTGTTGGCAGGTTATAAAATGTCACTTTTCATAAATTACTTTTTCCCGTGGGAAAAAAGTGAGTACTTTTTTCCCGGATATATATCACATATTATTATATATACACTGTTGATGGCTTTTGTTGTGCTATAGTTCCGAAAAATGAGTCAATAATACCGTCTCCGAGAAAGAACTGCAAGTCCTTTTATCTTCCATTCGACTTCGCGGTTACGTATATTGCTAAATAACCACTATGCATTCGCAATTTCTTGAAATCAAATCTCAAAATTAGACTGACAGAAATGACATCAGATATTTGATTACTTCAAATGAATGATAAAGATGCCTACAACGCGGTGTCCCTACTGTTAAAAACTTAAAATTTCACGTCGATAATTTTCAGATTTCAAAATAATGTAATATCTTCTCAATATTGATTCGTCCTTTCTTCTGTCACAGAAAAAAATAGTGTATTATACACGGGAAAAATATTAGATTTTAGCTCACGGTTTGTTGTCTCCCTCCGCTAAGCGTCGGGAGACAACACAACCTGGAGCTAAAATCTACTACTTTTTTCCCTTGTATAATAAATAACTATTATTTCTAAAAAAAAAATATTTTTCACATTTTTGAGCAGCTCTGGAGGGACATAGCAGAAATATAATTTTATTAACATAAATAAAATCCTATTTTTTACAACGTCCCTTCAGAGCTGCTATAAAATGTGAAAAATATGTTTTCTACAAACGTCGAGAAATGACAAAGTTGACAAATTGCGAAGTGACACTTTTTTTCAGTTTCCTACGTTACCATGATACCTTGCACAAAACAATGCGCCAAGTAAAACAGTGCACGAAGTACCTACTTCGCGCATTGTTATGTAATATATATGAGATATTTATATTTCAAATTCATGGTCCTCAATCGAGCAAACATTCACGAAATCATTTATCTCTGAATGTTCGACAATAACTTTGTTTTATCTCTTGGAGCGAACGAAAGGAAATTCTTATTATGTTCGTGGAACATCGTGCGTACCTAGGGAGGATAGGGGAAGGCCTTTTGAGCCAGTTCAGCACTATTTTTTATATCAAGCTAAGCATATTTTACTTTCGAACAATATTTTTTGACGTTTGTAGAAAAAATGTTGTTTGCAACTCGAGCGCGAAATACTTTGGTCATCTCGACTATTTTTTTAACTCGGCTACGCCTCGTTAAAAAAATCAGATCTCGATCACCAAAGGAGCATTTCGCGCTCTAGATACAAAAATAACTATTTTTTATAGAAATAAAATTATATTTTTCATAATGTCCCTTGAGAGCTGCTATAATACGTGAATTTTTTTTACTATTTTACTATTTCCCTTCAGCGCTTTCGTAGTTCCGCGTTTTTTATGTTATGGATTATGGAAAAAACGTGAATTTCAATAATCATTTGAAAAATGTAGAGAGCACTGAGGAGGAAATGGTTTGTGCCGGTGAACAAGTTCGGGTTAGTTCTCCAAAATAATGAAAAGAGAAATTTTTCAGTGACACAGGCATAATTGGTATACTCCTACTGTGATTGTTAATTCTTATTTCTTTCTTCTTTCTTTGTACGCAGAATATCACGTCTAGAGAAAGAGAGATCTTTATTGAACCAATAAAAGATTTTTACATTCTCATGTAGGTCCTTCCTTTAAATACTACATTACTTTTCTTTTTTTTAGTACATATTATGTCATTTTTGAACTCATTGAATTATATAAAGCCAGTCATCGAGAGCTTGCGTTTTTGAGAGTGATTATTATTTTCATCACTGCAAGCAAATATTTGTGATGATTCTGAATAATGTATGACTGTATCAAACCCTGATCAAAGATAATTAATTTACATGAAACGATCACTATGAAATGTATATGTGGCGTAAATTCGACTAGGGTGTAAAACCCCATTCTATTAGATGTTATAATTACATACAGGTAACTACCTATAGCACTGATGATGAATTAACAGAAAGCGCTTTGTGATTTGATAAGGAAAATATCACATGAAATATAACTGTCTTCATCATTTGAATTTGAAATAAAAATTTTCATCGGCAACGGTCGTTCAGCACGGTAAATGAGAGGGTAAATCGAATTTAACAAATATTCATCGAAAATTTCAAATTGGAAAGTATTGTCTACACTTCAATTTTGGTCCGCAAATTACTCACAATCTATATAATATATAATAGTTTATAATATATACTTACGTGATGAATCGAACACGACTAACACTGATAATCACTGGACAACAATTTCGTAATGTGCAAAGGATAATAAATTTCAAATATCGCCCAAGGGGGGTCAAAGTAGTTGGCTGGCTAAACAAACAGAAACAATATTTGTAAACAAAGTTTCGATCACTACTGAACCTCTGCCAGCTTCACACGTCCAATTATATCTTTATATCAGCGCGATGTCGACCTGAGATAATCAGGAATCGCAGAAATTCATTAGTGCGGTATAGCAGTGAACTTGATCGTTTCTTGAAAAACCGGAGGAAATTGGACCATTCCAGTGACGCACCGCACCTTAAACATCTCAAAAGCATAATATTTATGTTATTATTTTGTTTTCTCACCTCCCTCCGACCTATATGTAATGTCAAACATTGCTCACAAGTGCGGAAAAGTAGATATCGGTGTCGTAACGAAATTAAATGACATTATTTTTTTCTGTGACGGGAAAAAAGTATGAAATTTCTGAAAACGAATATTCTCAGATAAATTATGGACATACAATAATGGATATATATTTATATGAAGCAATACATTGAGAATTCGCATTTTCTATGTGATGAGAATATCTACTCTTCTTCAGTTTATTCAATAGAAAACAACTACTTTCCTGGCTATTTACCACGTCGAACATTGAATTATATCTGATGAAATTGAGAATTGACATTCTTCTTCAAATCGGATGAATAATATGATGTATAATGATATAGAAATATAACTTACCAATATATTCAGCATTGAAATAAAAATTGGAATGTATAGGAGAAGTATACTGGCATGAACTCTGATCTTGATGAGCTTGAACACTTCCAAAAATAATCATTTTTCATCATAAGATTTTTCCTCACGATTCTTTGTCTTCCTCGACTACGCGTCGGGAAACAACGAAACCTGGGTCTAAAATATTCTAGTTTTTTCCCTTGAATAATAAATAACTATTTTTGTAAGTATTCTTGATATCACTCACTCACGAACATCTGCATGTATTCATTTATTATATAAAATGTTAGGTATATATTATATATGACTGTTTTCAATCCCCATACATTGCGATATTTGATGAAAAATATCTGTAAAACAGCTTATTTTCGTATTCACTCGGCCGTTACTATGGAAATCCACGTAAATGGGGAAAACTCCAAAAATGATAAGATATTCACAATAGTCTTAATAACACGACAAGTGTCGCGGTAACATACCGGGTGACACAGGCTATCAGGCCACCCCTGTAACTTCTGTATTCGTCAACGGATTTTTCTGAAATTCGGTACAGTTATATAAGCAACTATTTCGGATTTGATCACATTACAATCAAATATGGCGGATTCCCGGTTTTTCTGGAAATGCCAGCAATTTTGTTTTTTCAAATGGAACACCCTGTATATTTTTACATATTCGAGTTCAACAGGTCAAAACAAGTGCAATCTTGATGTCAAATGTCATTTATTCCAAAGCCTACCTAGTTGAAAAATTATTCTAACTGCAAGGAAATTCATAAACTAGTTTTTTTTTATCGCTTGGAGCGCACGAAAGGGAATCCCTATAATGTTCTAGAGAAAGGGGTAGGTGGCCCATAGGGGTTCCATTTGGAAAAAAATTATTTTTGATCAAAAAGTGATGTGGCTGAATTGATTCCTGGATAAGTGACACAAAAAATAATTTTTCAGAAAAAAATATGTTCTTCTGTTATGTATGACTCATTGTGAATAGTCTTGACCACATCTCATTTATCCACGAGGTAAAATAAAAAAACAATTTCAATTTAATTTTTTTCGAAAAAATGACATTTGAAATAAAGATTGCACTTGTTTCGACCTGTTGAACTTGAATATGTAAAAATATACAGGGTGTTTCATTTGAAAAAACAAAGTTGCTGGCATTTCCAGAAATACCGGAAGTCCGCCATATTGGATTCTAATGTGATCAAATCCGAAATAATTGCTTATATATCTGTACCGAATTTCAGAAAAATCCGATGACGAAAGCATAAGTTACAGGGGTGGCCCGATACCCTGTGTCACCCGGTATAGTAGCTTCTTCAAGTGAAATATTCATAAATAAATTAACCCAACATTGCTTTTCCTAACTTATTTATAATTAGGTATATCTGCGTCCTGGCTAGTTAATCCGTAGGAAAGGTGTATAAAAAATAATGAAGACAAAACTCTTTAATTCGATAAATCATGAATATACAAACTGAACTGTGGATCTGTTTCTGAGGTAATATTGGTCAAACAGAAAGAACGTTTCGGCACAACGGCCATCATCAGACTGCAGTACGCGTCACATTAAATAACAAAATTGCAGAATAAGAAACTGTCATTGGTTTGAACATATATAACATTTTTGTAACACGGCTGAACAGCCAGAAAAATCTGGCCCTGATGGGATTGAACATCAAAAGAAGTAATCAATGTGTCTACAGTACTTCAGTCTGATAAATATAATCTGATAATGATAATAATAATTTAATATATTTTTATATAAAGTAGTGTGGTCGACCGAGTTCGAGATTTTTATTGTCTTAAAAAAATGATATACTGATGACGTTGTTCATGGTATGGTTGGATATTGGTATAACATTCATGCAATAAATCATTTCTATACCTCTAAAAATACTTGGTGTGCGCTGCTGCATTCATGAGTAATGAATAAGAAGGAAAATACGGCGATGAACACAACCTACTATGTGAGTAAATTGGTTCAAACCACAAACATTTGGGGACAAGGTTGAGGTTGCATCTGAATTTCTTCGAGCTCGACCTCTTTATTCTTCATGTAATGCAAGATTACACTTTGTGGGGCAGGAAGTAATCCTGATATTTTTTAATTAGGCATACTCGTCAAGAGATTACATACATTAGGGTATCGTTCACATAAAAACGATAAAATTATTGTATGAATTGTACAAATATTTATCCGCGAAAATATAAGATCTTCAACACATTAATTTTTTTTTTAATAACTACTTTAGTATAGTATTTATTACTATATTGGTCTACTCATGATGAACAATAATGAAAATAATATACAGGGAGGCATTGAAATAAGTGCAAATATTTCTAGCCTTGAGTAAGCTTGACGTATACTATCGAGTGGTACCAATAAAAAAAATATAGGGATCAAAATAAAATTTGAGGTTAGACCCGTTTTTCCACCCAAAGTTCCACAGTGTGGAGCAATGTAGCACTATGTAGCAATTCAAACTTCACCTCTGTTCAAATTTTTGTGCGGATGGCACAATCACGCGGATTTCAAACATTTAAATTGTTTTTTTCTATGGCGGGAAAAAAGTTTGGCATTTCATCTCTGTTGACAGGTTATAAAATGTCACTTTTCATAAATAACTTCTTTCCCGTGAGTACTTTTTTCCTGGATATATATAACATACATATATACACTGTTGATGGCTTTTGTTGTGCTATAGTTCCGAAAAATGAGTCAATAATACCGTCTCCGAGAAAGAACTGCATGTCCTTTTATCTTCCATTCGACTTCGCGGTTACGTATATTACTAAACAACCACTAAATTCACAATTTTTTTAAATCAAATCACAGAATTAGACTGACAGAAGTGATATCAGATATTTGATTCTACAACGCAGGTGTCCCTACTGTTAAAAACTTAAAATTTCACGTCGATAATTTTCAGATTTCAAAATAATGTAATATCTTCTCAATATTGATTCGTCCTTTCTTCTGTCACGGAAAAAAATAGTGTATCATACACGGGAAAAATATTAGATTTCAGCTCCACAGAACTCAAAGACCTCAGCTCACGTTTTTTTTTCTCCCTCCGCTACGCCTCGGAAGACAACACAACCTGATGGAGCTAAAATCTACTACTTTTTCCCTTGTATAATAAATAACTATTAAAGTAGCGTACTTAATATTTTTCTCGATTTTTGTTCAATTTTTGAGGATGAAATTTCTTGTTAATTAGAAGAATTAGGAGAAATCTAATATCATGGGAATATTCGATAGACTGTATCATCTCGATGTGCTGATTATATGTACTTATTTCAAAAACACCTTATATATCAATAACTCACCTATAGTTTGAAATCACCCAATTCGTAAAATTATATGTATATAGGTAGGGAAATGCAGAATATAAACAAAAGTATGTACACTAAAAATATTATTATTATTTTTTTAATGAGAAGCAGCACTTTTGAAAAGCAATTCTATTAGAATATGAATTTTCATTAACGAGTAAGTTTCATAGAGTAACTAAATGAGTGAAATAAGTACCAATTACGGGTTGATAGAGGTTATCGATTATCAATGATATTTTAGGATGATTTATCGATTTCATTAACCCATTCATTTTTTTATGTCTAGTTGGCCTAGTATATGTAGGTATAATGATATGATGAAAGGAATATTGAGGGGAGTGTGGTAAACAACGGAGAAGGAAATAGTGGACAAAGCCCTCATAAAAAGTCAACCGTAGACACGTGTTTCGGGCTTTCGGCCATCATCAGCATGGTGAAAAAGTGCGAATTATAGGCAACACTTGGTGGAAGACGAAACAACAAAATTACGGAATCAACTAACATAGGCCACGGAGGCAGCTATAGCTACCTGGCGTAACATCCGAGTCCAGTATCACAAACATGATGAAAAGAATATTGAGGGGAATGTTGTAAACAACGAAAAAGGAAATAGTGGACAAAGCCCTCATAAAAAGTTATCCGTATACACGTGCTTAGGGCTTCTATTTGAATTGGTATATATTAATTATATACCCTTGGTATACCTATTTTTGTCTTTGTCTTAAAGATGTGCGTTGTGAGACACGAGATACATAATATGCATACTTGCATACTTCAGTTTTTTTCTTGCAGGTGTCATGCTTTTAATTTCCAGGAATCGGGGTACTCTTTGTATCTATACTTTTGTAGAACCATCAAGTATGGTCATCACAACTGTGATTGCAAAAAGGTACATCAAGGACAGCTAAAATTAATTAATGACTAAGACTAAATCATCAATGATGTACAAAACTTCATTATTTTCGTAAGCAGCTAGTAGTTTAACACGTTCCTCTACTTCCCATTTCACAAGTGACTAAGGAAGAATGAATTTAACAGCAGATTTTGCACAAGCATATAGTATAGCAATGACATAAAGTTATACGGTATTATGATGCGATCTTCGAAATCTCTCAGTCAAACCGGTCGAACCCAGTTTATTTCTTCTTCAATATTGCTCAAATA